AGCTAAAACCGTTCCTATAATAAACGTCTCGTCGTGCAACTTACTGACGGTTTGCAACTAACGGATATCGGTAAGCGAATTGTATGGAGATCTATGGTGTCTGTGGTTTTCCTATAAATATTTTAACCGTCAGTAGACGGTCAAGATAACTATTCGTAATGTCATTTGGTCGTAATGCGTATACAACGACGATTCGTTAAATATGGGAACCGGGCATAAATGTACTTTTTTCTATGTAAGAAAATGTATGAAACTAATTCTTGCAATGGGTGATATCTACGAAGAAATCAATACAATGGAAGCACTGTATAAAATCTACGATGTTAAGGATATAGGATAAGTATTAGTAAAAGATGGATATGATTTTGAATTTGCTTTTGCATTTGAATTAATTGCCCTATACTTACTTATGAAATAAAAGCCACGTACGTGGAACGTTTGGTTCCAATTTTAAATACATAATATCCTTCAAAGTCAATAGTGAAAGTGTTAACATAAAATAATGAATTTTAATAGTACCTAACAATCTACACCAAAAAGGAATAGTAAAAAGAAAAAATAACGATCAAGTGTGAAAAATCGATGAGTCGAAAAAATATTATCAACTAGCTAAACTCTCGCGCGGTTTCACCCGCTGCTCGGCTCCATTTAATCGTAGAGTGATGTTTTAGCGTATAGCACTCAGGAACATTGTAGCTATCTATCAGTAAAAGAATTTTGGAAATCCGACCGTTCCAAAGATTACCTCCTACATACAAACTTACAAATTAAACCTCTTTATAATATTAGTATAGATAAAGATAAAACTGTCAGTCCAATTATTTACTATCCTTTTCTTTGTGCACACGTATATACATATTTATCGTAAAACATCTATAAATTTCGATTTTGAAAATGCGTGTACCTAAATGGTCTAATTGGAATAAATGTTTTGACTTTGACATAATATGGTAACACATTCACGAACATACAAACTGTCACAAGGTCCTGTTCATTTCATAAAAATAGTCATAAAATTATTACATTTTATTTACACAAAGGTAAAATTAAAATTGTATTATTACATTTACACAAAGGTAAAATTAAAATTGGATTATTACATTTACACAAAGGTAAGATAACAGTAAAATTGGATTTTTTGACAATTCTACACTGTGTGTAATAAAGTAGTAAATACTTTTATTAATTGTTTTTTTATATGCAACTTGGATTTTGTCAACCGTCTGCGCAGTCCTATTAACTTCTTATATAAAGCGCTAATTGCATAACTGTAGAAAACTACGTATAGATAATCATTGCCCCTAATGCTTCAGGGAAAAACATTTGTGATTAATATTGTATAATATTTGCTTTTATATCGATAACACCGTTCAAAGAATCTTTATCTTTTTATAATCTTTTCAAAATATATCTTCATCCAGTGTAGTGTGTGATAACAATTATTAAATGGTTATTTTAATGTGAATCGCAATAGGATTAGATTAACCGCTTAAAAGATTAACGTATCAAGATAAATTTCATCGATTACAATCAAGGATTATTTATAATCCAACTTTTTGTTATAATGAAATCCTTGGATTATTTTATTAGCTACTCAGCTTATGATTGTTTATCACTTGTTTAAGACTTCAACTTATTATTTTTACTTAATAAGTCTACAATCTTTAATTAATCTTCCTTTTTTTAATAATAATTTTGTTGTTAAGAATTAACGTATTAATAAATCAATATAAAATAAAAGTATGATTGAATTACGTTCCATATTAAAATTATACAAAAATACTGGTTTTAACTTTAAAAAAGCTAGAAGCTTAAATGTTTACAATTTAAAATTATATACCTATTAAGAAGAACAAAAAACTATGAAAGAAAATCGAAATGTACTAATTGTATTGGATTGTTTGTTAATTAATTGGGAAAGGTATGCTAAGTTCAGCAGTATGCAGTCGTGAGGCTGAGATGATGATGGTGATGATCAAGGAGGCTTGGAGGAAAGTGATGCCCAAATGCCCTTGCCTTTCTTATAATTACAGGTACCAGGGAAATATGTCTGACTTCCATGGCAAAATTATTGAATGGAATGTTGTTGGCGGGATTTCAGGAAAGATACGACGCGGATCGCCGTCTACCATGTTTATGAAAAGAACGCGTTCCTTCTTAAAAGGTCGGCAAAGCACTTGAGAGTCCTTTGGAGTTACTGTCGTCCATGGATGACGCTGATCGCTTACCATTAATTGAGCCGTATGGCCGTTTGCCACAATATTCTATAAAAATAATTATTCTGTTTTTTCACATTCCATTCATATAAACTACTGAGCCAATATTGATGAGTTTAGCAACGCTGATAACCTTACGTTTTTCCCGTTATAACCCTGCTTATAAATAGCACGAAAATAGCAAAAACAAAGATTGATTCTTCTAATCAAATTAGTGACATTTATTTGCATATAATTTGTTCGTGCCAAGAAAACATTATAGTGTCAATAGTTTTTCATACATCATCTATATAAAACATTATGTAATTAATTTTGTACATAATCATCACGTGTGTAATGACGTTTCAAATCCTAAGGAAAACACAAAAAATAACTTTTGACACTCCCAAAAAGGGAAGTAATCTTTAAATGCATCGCTTTAGGGTTTAATTTCGATTGTTACCTAGTTTCCAATCTGCAAATTGGATATTGATTTAATTATTGAATAGAACCCGTTACAATATCTAAAGACTTCTATTAGTATTAACATAAGATTCAAAATCCATTGATTTTTTTAATACAGCTGTAAATTAGTTCCAAAAATGACAAACCGTTACAAATAATCTGACTAGCTTCTATTATAAACGAGTTAAAGTTTAAAATTGAATGTTTATAATAGGTTGGAGAGCAAATTAGTTGGTCTCGGTTTTATTCTAAACTGGGAACTGGAAACTGCTAAAAAGATAAAAGTCTTTAATTTACTGACAACATATCGACAGGTTATTGACTATGCTCGTCATGACACGACGTTTGTTCCAAGGTTTAGATGTGATGACGAATGAGTCATTTACGAATGACATGCGGTAAATCATTTGTTACTGTACCGTGTGCAAGGCCATTTTTGGTGATATTTCTCTTATAACCGCTTATCTTTGAGTAAAAACAACTCTGATTTTGCACACGTTTATATTCTGTGTGTGTGTGCGTGTTTTTATATCTATTTACCATTAGGTGAATCTTACGTCACTTACTCACGTAACTGCGGTTACTCGATCAGACATTCGGATCATCATTTCGGACATCAATAGGGGCCCATAGTCATGGGTAGCAAGCGCGACGTTTATCTGGCGTGCTACTTCGTCGGTGATCTATATCAATTAATTTATTGTATTTGTTTGATATATGCATGCATATCCTAGGACAGGTTTAATAATACCTCTAAAAGTTGAGTGATCATGTTGAAAAATACCAGATTCAATTTGCCGTGTTATTGTTTAAAATCACAAAATGTTCGACCCTAGTCTGAATCCGAAACATCCTTCGAAGTCAATTGTACGACCACCAACAACTAGGCTATAATAAAATTTTAGTACTCGCCTATTTTGAAACAACATTTTTAATAACACGGCTACCTCAAGCACTGTAAACTTTTATTAAAGGCTAATTCATCTTTTATTCAAAGCAATTACAATAATAAAGGACAAACAAAGGTTGCGGACTATGAATAAGACTTTTGCAAGACCTCAATTGACTACAAACGGATTGTAACTCCATTAGGGTAACACTAGTTTCCACCAATGTGAAAAAGAAAGAGATAGTGAAGTTCCTGGCTTCACTATCCCTTTCTATTACCTCTGATCTATTTATTTTTCTTAAGAAATAACACCGTTAAACAGCATCCTATTGTTTTCGTCCACGGCAAACAAAGCATACCGGTCGATACAATGCGCGTTTACCTCCACTGACCGACTTACTACAAGACTATTACGCCTCATTGTATCGCTATTTTTTGTGATATTAAAAACTAAGTCGTAATAAAATGAAAATAAAAAAACTAATTAGTTGATAGATACTCTTCAATACAGAAAATGTGTTTAAGTTTATCCATAATCCAATGAGAAGTGTGGTATTTTCATAACTAGAATTGTATTTAGAGAAAATGTTCTTAAATAAACGTATAAAGTGCTCAATTAATAATAATAATTTCACGAAAGTCTAAAACGTGGTTTAGACAGTAATTAATTCATCTATATTGTGAAAGTGGCCGAACGTATCTCACCCGCCTCCCACACTTATTTATAAGCGATAACAATAGGCCAATTACAAACCAGCCATAACTCACCACAGCAAATGATCATCTCTACTTATCAACATTAAACGTTTAAAAAACTTCGTCGTTAAAACATCCGAAATTAAGAAAAATTAACCTTTCCCGGAAGGTAATAATGGCCACGTACAAAATTATGTGGAGCCGTGACAATTTTTTCTTACATCCCAAAAGGCGGGAAGCCGCTGTGATTTATATAATGAATAAAAATGCTTCCTAGCGCGCTCACCACCATTTCACAAGGATACTGCAATTAACCACAACGATAGCTATTCAAATTACTACGTAATTACATTGATGACTTCATAATTTACACCCTGCATTACATTCGATCGACTAGATAAATCAAAGATGTAGACACAGATAGCAAACCAGCGATATCGAACATAAAACAACAGCAGGAATGATGTTCAAACAAATAAAACGAGTAGCTCTCAATAATACGTAATCTAATCAAGATAGCGGCAACACCCCTCAACAACAAATTAGCCGTCACACGAAGCAATCTGTGAATTACAAGTGTAAATAATCCAGAGGACGCCCAACCACCACCGTGGGCCGGGCTTGGGTAGAAAAAAAAACTCGTTAAAATAGCGGCTTAAAAAAGAAAAGCGCTGAAACGGGAAGGCTCGGGTGGTATCGGTTTTTCTCGACGCGGGCGGTTCGCTGGGCGGGGCTCCAGCGGCAGTCGCGCGCCGCCGGCCGGCCCGTTCGTACGTGTCGCAGCTTCATTGTCTGCCTGTCCCGCACCGTGCACATGTTGTGTGAATTTTCGGCATGTTGATGTCGTCGTGAATTAACAAGATGGACTTTCAGAGTGCAATGGAGACGTTTGCTGAGGCGTGGGCTGCGGCCAACAATGTCAAGACGGAAGCTCCTACAGATTTAGCTCAGGTAGGTGCAAATTTAATATTTTTGTGGAGATACTTTTAAAATATTTAACAAATGAATGAGAGGGTAGATAAAAAAATATTTCCATTTTAATTGACGTGTCTAATATTTACGGATATTTTAGATGAATGAATGAATGAATAATTTGATTTATTAAGTCCAATATCTTTGAAGGTATAAAACTTGAAACCGTCAAAAAAGTTTCGGAAGTTCCGCTTTAACTTATTGTATTTTTATGTAACGTAGAAAATATTTTATTTGTACCTAAATATTAACAATCAAGTTATTTATTTAAATACAAATTTTGATATAGATAGTGATTAAGCTACTGATGAAGTTATTATTTAAGCATGAGATGTTAATAATCTGGCAACAGAATGACATTTAATTTAAGACCTAGAAAATATTCTTGATATGTTTAACACTAATAACCCATCTACGCAACAAATGATAGATATAAAGAAATCGGTGCACTTTAGATAACAAATAAACAAAAGAGAAACTACACCGGAATAAAAAAAGCGAATAAAGGTGAATCAGTGTTCCTAGCATTCCTAATTGACGCATAGACAATAACCCAAGTTCATCTAGATAACAAAATATTCATTAGCATTGAAAATGAAGCCGCCGTTATATACTCGCATATATGTACTGAGACAATAGATACCGTACCGATATTTTCAGCAAGGTCGAATTAGGAACCTTTTATATTATAATTGATAAATAAAACATCTTTGCCAAATTAATGTTTGCGTTACAAATCTTTCAACAAAAATCATCAAAGGAAAGAAGGAGAGATAAGAAAAGAAAGAGACGGAAGCATTGTATAAGAAAAACGACAGGTAATTTCGTATCGCTTTACAATTTGAATTAGCGAAGAAGATGATGGTAATGATTAAAGAAGTAATGGAGAAGATGAAAAAGATGTTAAATTTGAAGATGTTTGTAAAGCATTTTCTGTTGATGATAATTTAAATTAAAACAGAAGAGAGTAGGTTATTGCCTATAATTAAACAATAAATGTATTTGTCAGAAAAAAAGCAAGCGGCATTAGGTGAACAATAATAGGAATATTTCCGACTGTTATAAAACCACAGATTTTTTATACAATACATGTGCAACGGAATTACAAAATTATCTCAAGATGATTGCATATTTGTGCAAAAGGAGGAATTAATTGTTATTGATAAAGAACGATATCGTTTAAACGTTTTATTTACTACCGTGATTTACGCTAACATAAAGCTCTTGCCGTGATAAAATTCGTTCTTCTGTTTTTTATCCGTTTTATGGATTCCTGATAATAATTGACGCGATGTTGTCCACACAAACGTCATTAACTTTTTTGTTATTAAAATTAGTTTGTTTGCTGATAACAACAATTTATGTAAGTTTTATAATGACGATGCTATAGTTTAGACAGTTTGGACTGTATTTCTTTGTGATAAGGGAGGTTTTCAACTGTCGTTTCATATGAATGAGCATCGGTCGTGTCGGATGTAACGTTGTCTGGACTAAAGCCACAGTTCCTTTTGAAGGGACCCATTGATTTACAGTTTATCGGAATTTCGTCTGGTTTATGCGTGAAATCCATACAAATGATGTGTGATATTCGTAATTAGTGCATGCTGCATTTTCCCAATGTGTCTACGTAATTATTCATCGATTTCTGTATCAAGTTATTTGTGCATGAAAAGAGAATATTTGGGGGTATTGGTTTAAAACATTTTCCGTATATCAGGGAAATTAAAAAGTTTTAAAGATAATTAAAGCAAAATTTTACACACACATATACATTTAACTTTAATTATTCTACTTCTAATCTAAAATTAACATATTCAGATCCAATAGTTAAAAAGGATTTAATGGGTTCACAGGTTACTTTAACCGATGAGATAAGCAAACACAGTTAGCGTTATTGTAATCTTAAAGCCGTTAAAGTAAACTGCATAATTATAGACTGTAAAGTACTTGTAGTCGTTGTCTGCCAACACTGACTGCCTGGCTACCATGTCGAAGGCCTTTTTAAATAGCTCATAATTACCTCAATCGTAATTAAAAGCAACAATGATCTCTAAGATATTTTTCTAATCGATGCCAGCACTGGTATGCTAATCAGCAGGACTTGTTTGACAAATTATCGTCAGTTTTTGTTCGATGAAGAAATTGAAACAAGTCAACATTGCTCATTTAAAACTCATTACTTTGCTTCTCGTCACGGGGAAATCAATTAATAATCCGTAAACTTACAAGTATTAGAAAATATTATTAGTTGGTAAAAACTAACAGGTGTTTGGGACGATGCATGGATAGGTTTTATCAAAATTTCTGTTGATTGGTTTCCTGGTTTTGGATCTGAGGAGAATAAACAAAATCATGTTTTTTTCTCTACAGGTTTTTTCGGGGTAATATACACTTTAAAAACGTATGATGACCATTTGCATTATGATATTATTTTAAGAACAATTGATTTTGGAATTAGAATTAGAATGATTCGTAAAAATTAAAACTGTATTTTTATACTCAGACCGTTTTAGGTTAAACAATGAAACCGACCTGCAAGCAAAAAAAAAACCGTCTGATGAGAAAACTCTCCTTCTTTGAATACAATTGAATATAAAATTTATCGATTTACAATTTCTTGACTAAATAGCCAATTACAATCTATAGTGGCATTAAGTGGAATTACTTTCCTTCAACTCCCAGACGTTATACGGCGATAATCTAACAAATTCTAATAATTTTCATGGCATATGATTAGCTTGAAAAGAACGCCATGTGTATTGATAAAAAATATTAAAATTGAGTAAAAATAAAAATGTTGTATCTTTGTCGATAACTTTACTTTAAGATCGGATTTTCTTTAACATTAAGATTAGTAAGCTAAAGTGATAGTGGCTGGGTCATATTTGTCGGAGAACCTGATGACGCTAATCCATATTCTGGAGCCTGGTAATTTATAACAGAATTCTTATCTCTCATGTTTTTATGTGTACCAAAATACTGCCACTAATTTCTATTCTGCCATTGTTTAGCTGTCTACGGCAGAACGGGACTTAAGTGTTTGACCGCAGCTTTGTCCACTGGCCAAGACTGACGAGCTAGCACCAGAACGTTCAGTAAACCAGCGCTTACAAAAATATAGTTTCTTATTTTCCTAAACTTGGTTTCTGCTGGTCTTCTTAAGTCATACTTTCGGCTGGACACGAGCTGAGGCTATGCTGCGACTGAGAAGCTGTCTCCTCTTTTTGCGAGCATCAGTTCGCAAAGGAGGAGGCGCATCGCGTGAGAGAAGTATTCTCCTCACGCCCCAGCCGCCGCAGGAGAAACTCTGGGCGTGGACATGGCCTGGCTTAGATTTCGTTTTCTCAGATTTTGGAGTCTGTACCCTGATTATTGGCTGCAAAGTTGATGTCTCCAAGTGTCACTAACAATTTTATTTGTTGTGATATGAAGATGAAAGCATTTAGCCAAGGACTAAAACTTAGTCCTCGGATTATCACAGATCTGACTCCATTAAAAAGAGGTAGTTAGGTGGAGTAACTTTGAATTTTGGTTTGCAAATGGCAACTTACATGAGTGAAGAAAAGCGAGTGTTATAATTATTGAACATGACCTCTCTTCGCCTTTCATTCAAACACGCTTTTGGTGATTTAGAAGGCGTAATCTTATAGTAAGCGAATTAATTACATGCGTCTTAAATTTTTCATTTACTCAGAATGCAATGTTCAGGTGACAATAACCACTGGTATTAATGTACTTCTGGTTTTTATCGCCACTTCTGCAGAATTTAAAGCACTCAAATTGATAATGCCGTTTCTACGAACAATCGACGTACGAAATGATTAAATTGTAAACGGGTTTTAACTGTGACCGTTGTTTATAATATTTCTGTTGGTATCGGGAAGGGTGGATTAGATGTCCAGTAGTGGATGGAAACTGATGCTGTTAAAAAGAATTCAAGATAATAAAGTTTTAGGATTCAATCTCATGTGCTGTTAATTCATCGAAACCGAGATTTGGTTAAAACATTTCATCAGTCTTCCAGGTACAGCAAAAGACCTCAATTTAAATGAATATCCTTCTCAATAATTATTATTAAAATTAAAAGAGTACTTTACGGGGAAAACCAGATTAAAAGGACATGTGGTTTTATCTGAATTCATGTGACTGATTAATATGTAATCAAAAAAGATTATCATACTAAAATGCGGAGTGTATAACTATGTATTATACATAAAACTTAACTCAACAAATAAATTGCAACAAAGTGTTGATGGATATAATACAACTATTATCAATATGCCATCATTATCTTGCAATCAAAACTGATTATGGTTACTTACAACAATTTAAGTATAAAACTCATTGGCCAAATGATATTTCTGCGGTTGTCGTTACGCAACTAGACTGCACAGACTTCCCATTTTTAAGGAATCCTGATCTATTTATTAGTCATTACTTTGCTATTTGAAATCTGTCTTTAGCTGTCCGTTGTGAATTAATGTTATTGAGTTTTGTACTTTTGTTGCGTTAACACGTGCCTCAGAGTGCATTATTCGGTTTTACTATCAAGATATTGGTTTCTTAACTTTAGGTATATCATGGTGTTAGTGTATTGGTGTATCCGTATAATTTGAAGTCAACAGGGTTTCCGACGATTCGACCATGTATTACGCTTTGAACGGGGTAAGTGAAACTAGACTTATTACGAAACAATAACTTTTATAACACAAACAAAATAGATCAACGAGAGCAATAATAGTGTTGGACAAACCGCAAATCAAAATAGAAGTAATATATAAAGGAACAGTTTCTTTATCGTGTTACAACGTAATGTTCCGTAGTTATTAAAGCGTGTCAATAATAATCGATCAAATGTAGCTCGAATGGCGACTTTTACCGAATAAAACTGTGGCGGTATTTATAAATATTCGCCGAGTGAGCTAATCCATTATCGCGGATTATTGTTTGAAGCGATAACTAGCTTACGCGGACTATGT